TAATAATAGCGTATGGGCTCTAATAATAGCAAAAGCAGTTCAGTCCTTTGTTAACAGTCAACAAATCAATGTTTAACCCTCCTCTTGAGGGTCAAAAGGTTACCCGACACTTATTCTTCGCATGTCAGCGGAAAGTACATTTCATGGTCCTTTCAAGACATAAAAATGGTAGGTCACCGCTGAAACAAAAAAGTTTTTCAATCGCTCCGTCAGACCATGTCCCCTTCTTTTACACCTCTTGACCTTTGACGTTTGACCCCAGCTTTAACATCCCAACTCGTTTTCGGATTACCCCCCACGTCCCGAATATCGTGAGCGTACGTCGAGCGGTTAAGATCACGGACGCACGGACGGCCGGATGGACGGACGGACGGACAATCATGCGATTCTACAAGCTGCACCTGACTACGTCAGATGAGCTAAAAATTCAACGTCAACAGCTTGTATTGAAAAAGTACAAAAGTAATATTGCGTTTTATTACACTATACACGCGTTCGTTCGTTAGTTCTGCTACATCCGCGCAGATGACAACAAAATATAAAGACAACACTCGCGAGCCCCACACAGCCGAGGGTTCATAATAATAACTATAGTAATAATACAATAGTACGACGATGACTTTGAAATATTATTGAGCAACTCTATACATATATCTGTACATTATATATATGTATATATATAAATATATATATATATATAATGTACAAATATGAACGTGGCATAGTAAACGCTACGAAATGAGCTTAGAACGTATTCTGTAATTGTAGCAACACAAGAGCATCAGACACGTTGGGCCTTCGCTAGATCGCTCCGGCCAGTAAAAAATACCTACCACGGTAGCACGTTGGCACGACTGTTACCATGGAAACGACAACGTAAAAACGTCAAATTCCTCAATGATAGTGATCGCGACGGCGCATGCGCGAAAGCCGCTGACAGCGCCACCGCTGCTGCTGGTAGCGCATGCGTACAGACGTCCCGGGCCAGCGCCACCGCTGCTACTGGTAGCGCATGCGTACAGACGTCCCGGGCCACACTACTCTCTCTACCTCACAAAAGGTTCTTTCCTTTGAAATTCCTTTGATTTGCTATATGTATATATATTGATATAGACACATATATACGTATAATATTTATGTAAAGGACATATAGAATAATATACAGATGATCACAGTTCACAAACAACAGCACACAAGATACGATATATATATATATATATAGGAACTAGGATCGCGTGTTCTGGTTAGCACTTTTCACAAACGTAAACACGCACATATACACAATACACACACATTATATAGATTCTATGTCACTGAGATCCATACCCGTTGACCGTACTAGTATTTAGTTGATAGTACTAGTATTTAGTTGATCGTACTAGTATTTAGTTTATCGTACTAGTATTTAGTTGATAGTACTAGTGTTTATCGTATCGTAATAGTATTTACATGCGAAGTTATTATGAGCAAAGACCACACACGGCAAGAGTTGCCAAGGCTGTACAACTTTAAGTTTCATCCAGGGGCTGGACACCGATCCACACCGCGTCAATGCCAGATCGTCATCGTCGTCATCGTCGTCATCGTCGTCGTCGTCACCGTCATCATCATCATCATCATCATCATTATCGTCGTCGTCGTCACCGTCATCATCATTATCATCGTCGTCGTCACCGTCATCGTCGCCATCATCACCACCGTCGTTATCGGGTTACGGTCACATGCAAAAGTACTCGACATATGACGTGTGTGCGCCTGTACGCCTATATACGCTAGACATGGAGAGCAGATAGTTAAAAAACAAAACTGCTAGAGTTTATTACGGAGCCTTTCGATCGATCTCGATCGATTTCTCGAATAATAAAACCAAACTTTGCGCAGGCAAGGGAATGGGAAAAGCGCCAAGACCCAAGACGCGCGCTGCTTCTAAAACGTAGCTTCAAATGTCCTCCGCTTTCTCTGTCTGTCTCACTCTCTGTGTGTGTGTGGTGCTCTCCCTTCCTCTC